TGAGAGACCGCGCAGCAATAGATTGTAGGTGCGGGCGTTTGGTGGGGGGTAAGCGGTGCTTTCAGAATCGGCCATACGCTGTACAAAGGTTATAGCGGTGTCATGTAGACGAAGCTGAGCGCAGTGTTTAACGAATGCATTACAACTCTGAACGGTGAGAAAGGCAGTGCCGTACATGGCGATAAGAGATTCTGCCTTTGAGATACGATTGGATGCGACGTAGGCCTGAAACAATGCGCCTAGCACACGGTGATTGGCGCGAAGGTGGGTGAGATGGGGACTGAAGTACAGTTGTTCAGCCTCGACAGCTCGGTCACATTTCCCCAAACAGAGAATGTAGGCGGCGGTGGCGTGCTCACTGGAGAGGGGTGGAACAGGTTGAGCGACTGTGTTCGCGAGGACTGGGTCATTAGTACGAGCGCGAATGTGACGTGCTAGTTGCAAGTTATGACAATCGCCGCAGATGCGGTACATAAGCGCGATAGAACGCGGCTGGACAGCTGCAAAGCGGTCGGTAAGTTGAGTCCAGACGTGATAGGCAGTTCGCAGGACCACCTGGCTCCTGGCGTGCGAACCAGCTCCCAATCGAGCAGCGTCCCTAGCACAAGCGGCCAACACGACGTTATACACTGCTGCAGAACAGTCACACTTGGCGTGTTTCAAAGCGGAGATCATTGCGTCTAAGCGCTGTCTAGGACCGTCAAAGCGGTCTGAGACCAACAATACTAACAGATACTCGACAAGATCGTGTTGATTGCGGCTGTACTGTAGGCCAGACACACGGGCCACTCGATACGCCTCGCGGTTGTTGCCGGAAAGTCGAAGCTGACGACTACGGAGGCGGGGGGAAGGCGCGTGCGTGGCGGGGACCACAGCAACGGAGGAGGGCGCCTCCAGCACGGCGACGGCATGCCATCGCGGTGGCGGTGGCGGCGGTGGCGGCGGTGGCGACGAAGACGACGCGACGAGGGCGCGTGCGCGGGGAAGGAGGGCGCGCGCCGCCGGGATGGAGCGCAGCATGTTGCTGTGGGTGGCGGTTAGCAGGCGGCGCGCACGACACGCAGCGGTGGCAGCCCACAAAAAAATGGCACGTGTGCATCGTCTAAAGTTCAGAGACTCTAAAGTTTCGCCGCAGCACACTACAGCAGGGAGCACAGCCCGCGCGCACCACCATCGCCAGTCGCCTGCCGTTGTGCTTCGCTTCGCCTGCGCGCCTCCACATGAGCGGTCCGTCGCGTTCACCGTTTCCACCCCCGCCATCCGGCGCTCCATCCGACGAGCCTGGTGACGAGGATGCGTCCTCCCCTCACTCCCAGCAGCACTCACAATGGCAAGTTCCGCACCATATCAATTCCTTCCAGCAGATTCAGAACCTTGTCCGACAGATTTCCAAGGACCCTACCTTGTCCGAGCAGGAGAAGAATCTTCGTCGCCAAACCGTCTTCACTCACCGTTTCAAGCAACGCCGTTCTGAAGAGGCACACCAGTTTTCCGAACAGCTCAATCAGCACGCCGATCAGATCTCCTACTCAACCGTGCGCGACCCGCAAACAGGACAATTGAAACCCGGTTGCAAGCATTATCCCAGAAATTGCAAGCTCAAGGCAGAGTGTTGTCAACTCTGGGTTGTTTGTCGTCATTGTCATGACCACGATAGCATGGACCATTCCATGGTTCGGTACGACACAAAGCTAGTGCGATGCATGCTGTGTAACACAGTTCAATCTGTGTCCTCCACCTGCACCAACTGCAAGAAACCGTTTGCTCGATACTTTTGTGCCGTGTGCAAGTTCTACGATGACACTCCCGGAAAGAGTATCTATCACTGCGACAAGTGCAAAATCTGCCGTGTCGGAGAGGGTATTGGAAAAGATAACTTCCACTGCGATCATTGTGACGCCTGTGTGTCAATTGAACACTCCGACAAACATCGCTGTTTGAAAACGTCACTCGATGCAAACTGTCCTATCTGTGGTGCCTATCTCTTCACCTCTACCCGCCCTGTCGTCTTCATGCGATGTGGGCATACAATGCACGCACATTGTTTTGATGATTACACAATGGAAAACTTTCGATGCCCGCTTTGTCAAAAGTCGCTCACAAATATGTCTGCCTACTACGCCCAAATTGACGAAATGCTCAAACGCGAGCAAATGCCTCCGGAACATCGCAACAAACGCTCTTACATCTTGTGTCATGATTGCGACCAGCGTTCTGAAACCGCTTTTCACTTTGACCATCACAAGTGTCAACATTGCGGAGGCTACAATACTCGCGTGCTACGCACTTTTCGGAGAGACCCGTCGTCAAGTTCTCAGCCCTCTCCGCCGGACCCTTGGTCACATCATCAAACATCAGAAGCAACAACAGCAGCAACAACAGCAGCAGCAACAGCAGCAACATCACCTGGTACACCTATTCAACCAAACAATACGTCGTCTTCCTCATCGTCAGCGCATCCGAATGTCGGTCGCGATGCAGACGATGCTTGCGCCGTTGCAAGTCCACAGTCCTCTGCAATGTCCGATTGCGAGCAGATGGCTACTGACAGTTGCGTCGAGGACCGATGTGAATCACCTACAGAGCAACTCGCTGTCGACGACGTGTAATAGAAGCGCTTTGGTAGAGTAGTAAACCTCCACACCAACATTTACCGCCGGCATCGCCAACCACCAACAACCACCACCACAGCTCTTGTTTTGGCGTTATGCTACGCTTTGTATGACACTTTACTGTAAAGGACACGCCAGCAATCACTATGTTGATATGGCAACAGTGCTACGGCTGTAATCTTACGCCTGCTGCATGTGCGCACTGCTCGACGTGCGTCGTGCTACAGAGTACAGTATTGTAATCTGTAAATAACCCTTAGTATCCACTAGATACGCATGCACGTTCGAACACGAGACTGCGATGATTCAGCCTGCTAGCGTTTGGGTTAAAGGGTTATCTATGTACTGTAGCAGAGTTATTGAGCCGAAAGGGTAAAATGGTTACGCTGTTCTTCCAGGTGTTGTACCTTGTCACGGCAGCAGCAATAGGTTGTATAGTTATCGTTCAAACCCTTTACAACATACTCAACTATACTTATCAGGTGCACTCCAGGCGGCGGTAACCGACCCCCTTCTGTGCATCTCCACACGAGTTGTCATCATCGCTTTGGCCCGTATCTTGCCTTGTATGGGGCTGTGTTTAAATAAGTTTTGTCCTTTGCAGCTGCTTCCTTGGAAGCCATTGCGTGCTGGCCGTGGCTCGCCCGTTTATTTCTCAATTGAATGTTTGTGGGCTTCTGTCTGCACTGCCAACCGATAGTAGCCACTGAGATACCTTGGCGAATGTGGCAGGGTGTTTGTGCTTTTTCGAACACCGCTGCTCGATACCAAGTGTACGAGAGGCGAACGTTTTTTATAGCCGCAAGGTAATTACAAAAACCTTCAGCGATATACACGGCTGTACGAAGCATACGTATATACAAGGAACAAACTGCTTCTTGAAGAAGCGTTTCAGTGCTTTCTGTATCTCTCTTTAAACATTTTAAAAAGTCTACAAGCTGTATACATGATGGCATCAGTGATGACGTTGTATCACCTGCATCTGTGTACGATTCGTGGAAAAGCAAAATGAGCTTTTCGCGCTCGTTCTCTGTCGATGTGTTTGTGCTCTCGATTCTGTTGCTGTACTGTCGTACACTCAGACTTATCCCTTTCGCCATTGAAGCAGTGCATCCTTGTAGAAACTTGTCATCTCGATCCAAATTCGATGACTGCTTTCGTACAGGCCAATGGTTTGCGCATGTGCCAATCGCAACTCGCTATCACGTCATTTTAGCCTGTACAGGCTTATGCTTGTAAACCTTGCAACAGCATTCGTCGAAAAGTCACGTGCTGTGCTGCACAATCAAGCTTTGCAAGTAGCAGCACTGTGATTCCACGCACAACGCATACACAGCACACTTACACATAGGCGCAAGAAGGTACAGAACAGTTTGCAGCTTTCCCGAGGAGGAAGAACATTTAGAGTTTTCTCACGATGTTAAGATTAGGCACCGCACACAACTTGCATTAAAAAAGCCTTCCCTTCCGTGACTTACGTTTTATGTTATCACCCCACACATGCCACATTCTGGTCTCAAACAGAATAGAATTCTTACATGTGAAAAGAACAACAACGTGTAGTCCCATGTCTTGTGTAGTCCCATGTCTTCTGTAGCCCTACCCTTTGCGTTTGAGGCCCTTTCTACATCAAGGAATGGACAGTCTCATATTCGTCTCTTGTCCAAAATCTTGGAGTCGCTCATCATGCGACCCCAACGAAGAGACAGTTGCTGATTCTAGCTGTCAGATTATGTTTTAAATGTTTTCACCACGAAGTACTCAAACTGTCTTGTTCATTTTGCAGTGTAGAAAGGGCCTAAGACAATACATGGATTGCTGGTGTTGGAAGACCTGCGGACCGAGAAGTTCTTTGATAAGTATTCCTATCACGCTTTCGGAATTAGTAACGTGTGCCCTGAGACATTCATACATCCATACATTCATATATTCATACATTCATACATTCATACATTCATACATTCATACATTCATACATCCATACATCCATACATTCATACATTCATGCATTCACACATCCATACATCCATACATCCGTACACCCGTACACCCGTACACCCGTACACCTAGGGCTAGCGGTGATCATTCACAGCAGAAAAGCTTTTCGGGCCTCGCCCCGCCAGCAAAAAACTGTTGCAATGATTCATTGCTTTGAGAAAAAAAATAGTAAAGGCTTCTTCTGAGGGTTTAGTAAGACCATACTCTCAATGAGAGGGTGGCACTATCATGGTGGGGATCTTGTTGCTGGTCGGAGAGCATTTGGACGACAGAATCGTGGGTGGAGAACGGCGGGAGAAGGAAAAAGCTGCGCACACACCAAAATACCCATCGTAGGATTATTCATCAGAAGAAATCAGCAAAAAGTCAGCAAAAAAGTTGCAAATGTCGAGCCACATGCGAGGTATTCAACTTCGTAACTTGAACTCGCGACCTCAGGATTGCTAGCTTGGATTATGAGACCTGCGCTCTGCCGACTGAGCTAATGTGACTGAACTCTTCCTTGGCAAAGCAGAAGTGTTCATTAGATTTTGAAGATCATCTTCTCGACTAAGCCTCTTCCTTCTTCACGGATAACTTACGACGGTGAACGACTTGGCGCTTCCCAAGCTTAGAAGCCAACTTATTTATGTCCCTTGAACTCTAAACAGCAGCGCTTCGCCACCACATCGCCACCACATCGCCACCACAGTGCTAACTCCAACACCCAGCCATCAGCGCTTCATCACGAGCGCCGCACCCAGTCACTGAATGAATGTGTACTGGTTTTCCTCATAAAGCTTATCTAACTGGCTCTTGATGTAGTCTAGAGCGCTTTCCTTCACGAGAACGTGAGTTTCATCCAGGTCGCTAATGATAAACTTTCCCGTATCCTTTTCGTCCACATGCAGCAAGAACTGTTTAACGGGAATGTCGCACGAAATCAACACCCCCGCCGTTGCCGTTACCATTTCGCTTTGCGTTCGCGTCTTCACGTTCCCTCTTGTTCGCGGTTTTCGCTCCGGTAGCGCGAAAGCAGGGCTGAGAAATATTTGCTCGTTCACGGAAACGGTGCCAACACCATTGAAGGGCACTCCCCGATGCCGCATTCTGGCCTAGAATTAAAATTCCCTTCAATGGAAACGTGTACCAACGGTACCGTCACAACTGTTGGTACTTCCTGGTGCAGCAAGGGTTAGACCGCTATCTACGTATCCAAGTAGTACTCACTCATGCCACCAACGGTTTGATCCCGGTTCCCATTTGATCACCGTCATGCCAGCGGCCCCATCCTAGCTCTGGCAGCATCATAATGACATCCGCTCTAACGCGCGAGGCGGAGCAAGCCGAGCTCATTTGCTCCACCGAAACTCCCAAAACCGCCCGTGAAGCTCTCTACCGCATCACTGCTCTTCTACGAACTCTCTCCACACCCCAATCCTTCAACCTCTCCAGCCCCACAACTGCAAACAACCAGGCCGATCTCCACCCCCTCTCTACCGTCTGTCTTCCATACGTCCGCCGCGCTTTGTATTCCTCCCTTGAGTTTCTTGAGAACGCCGTCCAAGCCCGTGACACCTGGAACCGCGATTCCACCCAACATCTGCGCCGAATCCGACATGACGCTCTCACCCGCCATCACGCCACTCTGGATTCCCGTCTTGCGCTCTCCATTTCTCGCAATCTCGCGCACACAGAAGATCCCTTTGCACCACCCTACTTTCTCATTCTCAACAAACTGCGACACTTGGCAGAGCGTCTGCTCGCAATTACCAACCAAGAAGTTTCTGCAAATGCAACCCTACTCACAATCTGCAACGCTACCTTTCTAGCCGACTTTCACTTCGAACACACTCCGACTCCAAAACCAGTCGTCCGCGCAAAGCTACGTTTGCTCCCCGCAACTGAACAGGAAGTATCAGACGATAACGTTGACGCCCATCTCACCCAACTCGTCACTCAATCCCGCTTCGACTTGTTACAACGCGTATTTCTACACCTCATGAGAACTGAAAAGCTCAGCGTATTTGCAGAGCTGCCTCTGGTAGATGCACTTCGTTCTTTTGAGGACGACCTTCTAAACGCCGCATCCATCGAGCGTGCCCCTAACCCATTCACGTGTCATGGGCATATAGTTCGCACCGCCCTCGGTTTACGCATTCAATTCGCCACAACACACGCCGCATTCCTGGCCATGGAACATGTGCTTTCAAAACGTGAAATATCTGTTGCGCGATCGGCAGCCGTCCAGAATGGAACTTCGCACTGCACGTTTGTAGAAGGCAAGAAAGCTCGTGTAGCGGCACAATACGTTCTAACCCTAACAACCCCGATTCCAGCCTTTCTTTCCGTACTCCACACTCTTCAACGAATTTCAGTCAGCAATGTACAAGTTAGTTCAAAGCGCCCGAATTTGGTGCGTGCACCAGGTGTGACCAGTGATCTACATTCAAAAACTGAAAGCGATGACGCGCTCAAGGCTCCTTGGCCTTTGCTATCGGATCTTATTGTACCAAACGCTCTAGGAAAGCGTAAACCAATTACAGCCAATGGTACAGCACCGGACTACACTTCTGAGGTCATGAGCTCACCTCTTTTGCCAAACGGTGATGTTCTTCAATTTCAGCAGAACGGTATGTCTCCCGCTCTGGCCATGAAGATTAGCCGAGTTCCATTGCGCACCACAAACGATGTATTTCCGGTATTGCAGCTTTTGCGCCAGCAGCTCGTTTTCAACGAACTGTTTCAAAGTTGTGTGCGCATCGAAAGCTCCCCTCCACAACCTGGAAAAGAGGGTTCTACAAAGCCTGTCGAGATGGTCCTTGAAGGCTCACCAGACTTCATGCAACTGAGCTATTATGATGATTCGATTGACGACGTTCTCAGTGTGGTAGTTCATATAGCCAGTGGCGGCCAAATTTCCGTTGTACTGAAGACTGCCAACGCAAGCCCGACATTCTGTTCAGATCCCAAGGCCACCCAGATTTTGCAAACATGTCGAAGTATCCCGCTCACTTTGTACGCTTTGATGACAATGTCAGCTCGTGGACAGATGGACAAGCCCGCCCAGTAATGTTATACTAATGTACAATGGGCGACGAGCTCTTTGTTCTGGAACAGTTCAGCTTCTTACAGCCTTGCAATCCTAGTATATGAAGCCCCACAACTCTTCATAACAGTAATGAACGTGAGCCTATGGTTTACATCAGGTTCTAATGCTACGTTTATCTGGATACATTCTCTAGTTTCATTAGCAATTCTGTGATTTGTTCCTTGTACATTTGTTTCACATCCGCCAAGTCGGCGTCCAATTCCGCTATCCGCTCCTCTCTTTCGCCCAAGAGCTCCAACAACGCCGAGTGTCTTCTCTTCAAATCCCCGAGCTCTTTTTTCAGCACAGGGGCATCTCCGTGATCCTTCTTCAGTTGCTCAACTTCAGAGGTTAGTTTCACAACATCTTCTGCGAGCGCTTCGCTGGCCACTTCTTTCCGCTTCAGGCGCGCTTGCAGGGCGCTAACCTCGCCGTCCCTCTTTCTCAACGTCAACTTCAGTTTGTCCATAGCGTATACAACGCCTGATGAGTATGAATCCGATAAAATGTCTGTGGTACCACCCTCGTCAAAACTGAAACTCCCTGCTGATAAGTTATCAAGGCTCCCAGAAACCTGTAGTGACGATGTCACATTCAAGCTCGATGAGCTCTGCCTTTGTCTTGGAGTGTTTTGTAGTTGAGTTTCTAAACTAGCTACCTGGTCCCTCAAGCTTTCTTCTCGTTTGCTCACAGCTTCCAAGGCTGTGATGTGGGCCACTCGATCTCGCGACAATTCGTGTTCTGCAGTCTCCTTCGCTTTGGTCAATTTGCGGAGCAACTTCACAGTTTCATCTTTCTCACGCTGATGATCAAGCAGAGACTTTGCATGGACCTCGCGAAGGGATTCGAGCTCTGCACACGCTCGTTTGCGCTCCGACTGCGCAGCCTTGAGCTGACTCTCTAATGCAGTTGCACGGTTTTGAAGGTCTGTAAGCTTTTCCTTGACAACCCGTTCCCGCTCCTGAGACGCATTCAACGCAGCCTGTGCTGTTCGCAGCTGCTCTGCTTGTGATCGTTCCACAGCGGATTTCGTCCTGCTTCTATTCAATGCCGCAGCCTGTAATGCTTCAACTTGTCTTACAAGAGGTCTCGTCGCATTCGGAATTGCTGCTACCAACTCTTCGTTCCGAGCTTTCAGCTCTTCAGCAAGCTTACGACTTTCTTCTGCTTCATATCGCAGTTGGTCCTCTCTGCGTCCAGCGTCTTCAATAACTTTCGAAAGATGGGTTTCAAGCTCCATCATGGCTTTGTCCATAGTGTCTTCTGCCTTTTGCGTGCTCATTTTTACAGCGCCTAAAACGGCTTCATGACCTGCTCTTAACTTTCTTGCTTGGTCCTCTAAAGCATTCGCTTGGCTTTTTCTCAGGGATTCGAGCTCGGCTCTCGCTGCGTCCAATGCAGCCGAGTTTGAGCTGTTAGACCGTGCAGCGTTTTCGGCACGAGTGAGTCGCTCTTCTTGACTCGCAAGGGCTTCACGAGCGGCATTTTCAGATGTTTCAAGTTGTTTCTGCTTATTGGTCGCATTCTTCAGCTTGGCTTCGTTTGCTGCCACTAATGCTCTCAACTCCTCAATGACAGCATTCTGTTCCTTCAAGTCCCTCTTCAGAGCTCTTGCTGCCGCCTCTTTCTCCGCAACTCGTATAGAAAGCTTCTCTCCTTCAGCGAGGATAGCTTGTATTTTGCGTTCCTTCGACTCGACCTCTCTGCCTCTAGAAGCTTGATCATCAGCGGCACGACGCAAATTATCCCGCTCTCTTGAAACAACGTATAGCTTCCCTTCAGCCGCAGCGGCACGTTTCAAGGCCTCCGCTACTTTTTCGCGCAAACTCTTTATAATTGCTGATTCGTCGTCGCAACTTGTATCATCCGCGTCGTTCCGCATCTCCTGACTCTCCGTACTCTTGTTCTCTCCGTCATGCGTTTGTAGCTTCCTCTTCACTTCTATTCGTCCTTGCTCAGAGTCGACTTCTGTAGACATCTTTTGAGATGTTGTTTGAATTCGAGTTGGAAGCATTTCAGCTACATCCTCCCAGGCATCGTCCTCGCCGCCGCCCCATGAATTCCATCCCCCCGCAGCCGACTGAGTTGGTTTTGTGGCGCTGTCAGATTCTAGTTTCTTCATTGTGTTAGAAGCACCCTTCAACAACGTTGTAAGATCCATCTTGGTTAGTTAGGGGAGCTGAGCATGCCGTGCCGGCTTTCGTAAATTGAAGAATCACCAGCGAAATGCCGAAGCTGGAGGAGGAGGTAGAGCACGGTCAGCAGAGCAGAGAACGGAAAAATGTGGTCATAAAATAATTTGGTGTCAGGCCAACGAGAGTGGGAATGTGCTGTCGGTACAGAGTCAACATTATAATGCAGTTGGGCACAGTCCAAGGATGCCGCTGGCATGTGGGGACCGAGAGTGCGAGTGATCAGGTC